TCCCTTTCATTAGATTTAGAGGTTAATGGTGACTGATCTGAATTCAATTTTGGTACCCACTTAAAGTTAGGTTTTGAAACTTTGTTAGTTTGCTTCAAGCCGGTGGATTTTCCACTCAAAGAGTTTGAAGATTCAGTCCTGCCCTTTAACAAAATCGACTTAGGCTTAGCCTGAGTTAATTTTGGCAAATTATTATTGAATTTATGGAAAACTTGTTTATTCTTTTGAAAATTGGCCATTTTCTTGTTTGGATTTATGTTCAAGTCACCATTCCGAGAACGAATTATGAGGGATTTTCTAGTTAAAGATCGTCCCCAAAATTCATTCTCTCCTCTTTTTGATGTGTGAGATACAAACATCCGGTTTAAACAGTTTCTTGCTATGTGTCTAGCAATGCCACAGTTAAAACAGATTTGTTTATTATCATTGGTTTTGACACTGTTTTTGACAGATTTCTTTCTTTTGTTTTTATTTCTAACACTTTCACATTTGCAAGAACAATCACAGGATTTTGAAGCCAATGTGGAAGGTGTAGAAGCATTTGAATTAGACAAAGATACATTTTCATACAAAGCATTAGTAGTTGCAATCTTATCATCAGAAAAAACAATACCACCAGACACAAAATTGTTTAAATTCGAATTTAATGCAGACTCATTACACAGACTGACACTAAACTTTGACACATCATCATTTTTAGACTTAAGAACATCAGACTTTTCATCTCTTTGCTCTCGCTGAGCTATGGACTTATCTACACTCAAATTTGAAATGTTAGTATCCATAATTTTATTATTTGGCTGTATTGCTTGCTCAGAAGCTGACTTTCCATATACCATGTAAGGTTCTCTATCAATTTCTTCTTGGACAAAGGAATAACAGTGTAATTATGATTGAATGGAGGGGGATACTGTCAAATCCTAGTCCAACTTTTATCTGATTTCCATGAGTAATATCTCTCTAGTGCATTTGTCCATCGATCATTTTTGCAATAGTTTCACTTGACCCATCGACTTTTTAAAAATTAAATTAATCATTTTCAAAACGTGTTTTCAATGAGTCAAGTTCAGCGGTCACAACTTCAAATTTTCGTTTGATATGGTCATATTTCTCACATTTGTTGCTGTAATCCTCTTGTAATTTCCTAAAGTCCTTTATTTTATTTTCTAGTTGAGTCTTTAAGGGCTTTTGGTTTTTCCTAAGTGTGTATCCCTCATATTTTAAGTCCTCGTTCTCTCTTTTGATTAAATAAATTGATTCTCGCTAAAATTTCATAGTTTTAGCACAAGATGGAGAGCAACCAGATTCACTTACCTCGGGCTTAGATGGCTCAGAAGTGGTTTGCACCATGAAGGCAAACTGGAGGTTCACCATATGTTCTTCAAAATCTATCTCTGCCTTTTTCTCTTTGCAATCCTCGACCTGGGCCAAATACGTATTTTCAGGTCCTGAAATATTTACAGCCTAAATTTGATCTTCCTAATCAAAGGATTGAGCCACCATTGCCAGATTCGCATATTGATTGGTTGATGAGGATCCTCTGCTGTTGCTGTGGACATAGGTAACTGGCACCACGGTTCGATCAACATTTTCCCTTCAGTCAGGCTTTGGACATTCCCTAGCAAAGTGCCTTGGCTCATGGCAATTGTAGCAGTGAAGTTTAATGCGACCTTTTTGTCGGAATTTACACTCCAATTGTTTTTACCAGTTTTCATAGAAAACTGCTTTGCCCTGAACACAACCATGGCCATCTGCCAGGTTATATCCATCTCTTCTACATCTTCAGGACGAATGTGATCAAGGTCGGCAAACGAAAGTTGTGGGGAGAGTTCTCCAGCCACAAAAGCATTGTAGCAATTTACCAATCCCGTGGCAAGATCCATATTTTCTTCTTTTTCTTTCATGGTTGACATTTGAGAGCTGAAACCATGAGACTTAGGAGGTACAACATTAGATGAACCAACATTGGGAATAACTTGTTGAGAAATGATTTGAGGTTGAGGAACTTGAACTTGTTGCATGGAAGGGATAACATAGGATGTAGGTTGAATCGATTGATGAGTCATGAAAGGTTGAACTTGTGGCACATGTGGAGTTGAAGAAACTTGAGGAGCTTGCGCAACACTGAAACTTGAAAAAGCATTGTTGTTTTTTGCTTGCATCCCTAGATTTGCAGTGTAATAAGAATTTACATGATTAATCTCCCTCTGCTTGTCATCAAGATCACATGCCTTGATAATAGCCATAGTTTCTACCAGACTCAGCCTGTTTAAATCTTTTGTTTTCTTGATCACTGAGACATTCATATCCAAGGATTTTGGAAGGGAGTTTAACAACTTCTTGTTGATTTCTGATCTTGTTTCTGAAACACCTGTAGAACTCATTTGTGTAGTGAGTGTAATGAACCTCTGGAGCTGGTTCTCAAGAGTTTCGCCTAGGACATAGTTGAACATGTTGAAATTTTGTCGAAGCATGTCCTGACGACTCTGCTTCATATCCGCATTACCCTCATAAACTTCTATTAATGCTTCCCAAAGTGATTTTTCAGATGTATACTCACGGAAACCCTGAGTGGTTTCTAGAGATAAAGCCATTGTAAGCGTAGCAAAGGCTTTCTTCTGCTCTTCAAACTTTTCAAAATTCTCATCCATATAATTTTCAACTCGTTTTTCGACAATTGTGTCATCTACTACAGTAGTAATTCGAATTGGTTCCCTAAGTATACTGTGCCAAATCTTGAAGTCTTTCATTTTAACATACTTCTCGGTCCGCACACTACAACAGCTCACTCTAACCGCACACACTGGTTGCACACTCCAACTGCACACACTGGCTGCACACTCCAACCGCACACGCTGGTTGCACACTTCAACCGTACACACTGGCCGCACTCCTTACCACACACTTGACCGCACACCTTCAAAGTCAACCACACACCTTCAAAGTACAACCGCACACCCAACAATCTCATATTTTTGAATGAATTTTGATTTCAAACTATCAAAAACAGTGATTAAATACAGTTCCTTGATTAAATAGTACGAATTCACTACAGAAATGGTAAATTTCTCAACCGCATACTCCAAAATGCTTCAAATTGATACTGAATTGGCCTGATACCAATTGTAAGTCCCAAACTATGGATCCAAATCAGTAATCAATAAGATAACAACAATCAAATAGAATGTTAGAAGGGGTAGAAGAAGAATCAAAGCAAGCATGCACACATTTATATCATATAAATGTCAGGTACACCCTGTCACGCATACATTGTTCATTCGCACCTGACAAGACTGACACATCCATTTATATACATGTCACACCAACACATATGAGTGCAGCCGCACACATATGTACAGCCGCACATGGTGTGTGCGGCCACACACATGTGTGTAGTCGCACACACGTTTGTGGTTGCACACACACACACACACAGACAATTCTATCAATCTACCATCATACCACTACACTATTGCTCTATCAACCTACCAAGCTCTAAACAAAAGAATGCCTAGCCCAAACCAGAAAAGTATAGCCATTCAATCGATCGAGGAACATTCTCAACTTGAGACAGGGCAATGGTGAGAGGGGATCATATTGAACTAGATCAAGTTCAATAATGAGGTTTTGATGTTGCTTAACGGCCAGAAGAGATGGATGAGCAGTCTGATCTTGAACATAAAGGTTCTCTGAAGAAGCCGCCATTGATGAAGCTTGAAGAAGATGATGAATAGTCGAGAGCTTTATGATTGGCAAAAATCGTGTATAGTGTTTCAAAAAGGTAATGAGATATGGAACCGTTAAAACCCTTATATACGATTTGATTTGGTGAGTAAATCCGGAGGGAGATTATCTCTAAAAATGAATCGTCGCCTGTAAACGTGCAATTTGACACCTGTGATGAGTCAGAAGCGTGTGTCACGCGGCGTATTGTTAGCTGTCCGTTCAACTTTTCACACACCCATTTGAATTCTTATCTTTTAAAACTTGCCACGTCAGCTCATCTCCTTTTGCAGTAAAGAAAGCACGTTGAATACAACTGCGAACCTAAAAGTTGGAAATAACCACGAACTAGACTTGTGGAAGATCATTAAGATCTTTGTGCGAGAGTGTTAAAGAAAAAGAAATAAAACAACTTTTATCTGAGAATGTTGTGATGTCTAATTAAGTACACAAAGTTATGGATCCCAGGAAAAGATCTCTTCGTTCATAATCAAGAGAGATTATGAAGTGTCTATGTGGTTTCCTGTTGAATACGATCAAGTGTTTGATGAGAAACATTGAAAGACATCTTTTATAAAGGCTTATAAAGGTGGTTCATCCTTCATCCTAACTATAAACTTGGTATAAGTGTGAAAGTCGTAGAAGGTACTCGTATGACCAGTGTCACTACTAGAAAAACAACCTTTTACGACGCTCATTGCGTATCGTAAAACGCTCAGACGATGCGCAAATGCGCGTCAAGGAAGGCCCTGTCATAAAGAGAGACGACGCACATTTACCACGCGCATTTATGATGCGCATTTACGACGCACGGTTATGACACGCAATGCCTATCAAGGAAGGCCCTGTCATAAAGGAAGACGACACACATTTGCATGTCGTAACCTTATGAAGCGCGTGTTTATGACACGCAATGCGTATCAAGGAAGCCCCTGTCAAGAAAGGCCATGTCATAAATGAAGACGACACACATTTTGTGTATCATAATTTTAATTTTTTTAAAAAAAAATTATTTATAGATTTACTAATTTTCATATTAAATTTGCATTTCATGTCTCATAATAGAAAATAAAAATAACATATACAAGAAATACAATTGATTGAACAAAAGTTAATGTCATAAAAATAATCATTCCAATAGTAGACAAATGTAATACATCAAATAATCATTCCAATAGTAGACAAATATAACATTTCAACATTTTTTATATAATTAACTAAATTATTAGAAAAATTTCCTAAAATACCAACATACTTTTCTATGAAGAGCATTAACACTATTCTTTTCCATCAAAAACTTCAAGACCTGCATAATTAAATTAATGTGTAATCAGCTACAGGTCAATAAGATAGGTTTAAGCAAAAGAGTTTCATAATAGTAAGATTTTACTTATGCTTCCTAACAAAGTGCTTGCGGCAATACTACTATGTGACGATGAATCCATAATTGAACTTGCAATATTGCAATCCCCCCTCATTTCATCATCCGCCAAAAGTTTGTATGAAAACGAACCCTACAAAAAATTAAATGTAAATCCCAAAAAAAAATACAAATACAATTTTCACTTTTTTTTTTCATTATACCTTTCGGATGCTCATTGCGACCTCACCCATATATAAGGAAGAACAAACCTTCAAGTTAGATTCAGGACTTGCATTTTCTGCGTATTACATTGGATATTAATACAAATATTAAAAAAAATAACAAAATCAAGATTATTAACTTTAAAAAGGTTACCAGTAGAATGATGGGAACATGACAAGACACCAATGCTGCCCTTATGATCTGAAACAACAGTTGTATCGATATTCATAAGAAGGCAATCAGCAACCAATCTTTGAACAGGATCACTGTATAACTGTTCCACCTTCTTGGCATCCTGTTTACATATAAAATTCATCTCATCACATTTTTTATTATTAATAAAAAAATTAGTAAAATATTAAAGGAGTAAAGGAGAGTGTTTGGAGGTGACCTCATAATAAGCATAGAAAAGAATGCCATCACGACAATCAACAGCAACAATAGTAGTAAAATGAGTGGTCAAAGTCATGATCATAAACCATGTCTTTCCACCAGCCAATCTTTGCACCCTTAAACTGCTATCATTCTGAAAGCTGCATACATAAAACTAAACAAACAAACAAACAAATAAATTACCAAATTACCCTTTTTGTAATTTAGTCAAAAAGAAGAAGAAGAATAGGGAGAGACTTACAGAACTACCAGCAGAGGCAAAGAAATAGCAATCAAGATAAAGGCATAAAGCAAGAACAATGCCACACATATTTGTTGCATAAGCTAATCTTAAATTCCATGCTTCGGTTTCTTCTAATTTGATTCCATTTCCATCACAATTGTTGCTATCAGTATCATCAGGGCAGCTGCAAAGACTACTGCTTGAAAGCTGCTCACTTCCTCCTCCTCCACTGTCACAAAAAGGGGAATTTCTTTTTGAATAAAATGCCATTGATCCACTATCTAAGTTTTGTTTGTGTTCAAGACATAGGACTATCAATCTGCCTTTTGTACTGCAAACATTAAAAAAACAATTCAAAACTCACACCAATTATTATTCATTACAACTGACTACATGTAGTCAGTTGAACGAGTAGGTTTGGAACATATTCGAGTGACTTGGACAAATATTGAAATCTCAAAAAAAAAAATCCACTAGATCCACTGGAAGAAATGTCTTAGGACGAGAATACAGTTCATTAGGATCTTAAAAGAAAAAAGATTTCTTGGTACTGACCACGAAGGTGGACTTTCGTTAATTCTTGGGTGAAAATACTAGAACATTTTATTGTTCACCATCAATTAATATAAGGTATTGAATTTTGGGTTTCACTCAATTCATGGTAGAACGAAACTAAGATCATGAAAACATATGTTTGTGTAACCATAAACCTCATTGGTAATTTCTGAGAGTCTCAAGGGTTACATTAGTTGATGCGAGAGTAATGGAGAAGAAGGTAGGTGGTTACAAGAAAGTGAAAGTACCTCTGCAATGCGAAAGTGAACATATAGACAACTCTTAACTCAATGTGAGAAGAGTAAGGTAGCTCATGAATGATGTGAATTTGCAGCCTGATTTGGAAGAATTGATTGGTGGTATCAATTCATTAAGCCTTCATAGTCAGTTCAATGAGGCTTAGGTCAACATGCAGCAACATGCTTCTAGGGACACTTAGCTAATACATAAGTAAAGAGATTTATACGTGCCCCATCAAACAAGTTGATAAATATTGCGAACACCTACGTCAATTATCTTGGTGTGAATATATAAAATAAACTAGATATAGACATAATTTTTTAACTAAAACCAATAAAACATGCAAAGAAATTCCAACTATATAAAAGGATATAGGAAATAGCAAACTGTGGATGAATAATGCCTTGCGAACCACTGCAAATGTTCGCATTGACTCGCATCCATAAATCAAACTATGAATTAACAGTTTACTGTGAAGCCCTGCGAACCTTCGCATCGATTCGCAGTGAAAATTTTAATGAGTGCGAAAATTGTTTTGGTACAGAATCACCTTCCATCATTCCTAGCCCTCGAAGAATTATATTTAATGTTGCTTCAGGTAGAGCCTTGGTAAATATGTCAGCCAATTGATCAGCGAATCTTACAAAATAAATCTCGACATTGCCATCTTCCACACGATCCTTGATAAAGTGATACCTCAGTGGTATGTGTTTTGCCTTTGAGTGTTGTACTCGCTTGTGACAAACGCGAACGACACTTTTAGAGTCACCATATAGAGGAATTATTTTCATGCTTAAGCCATAGTCGCGAAGTTGGATTTGAATCCAAAGGACTTGCGATGTACATGATGTTCCAGCTATGTATTTAGCCTCAGCTGTTGACAACGAAACACATGTTTGTTTCTTTGTTTGCCAACTCACCAATTGCCATCAAGAAATTGGCATCCAACAGTGGTGCTTTTTCTATCCAACCCACAACTGCCTAAGTCAGCATATGAAAATGCTTGTACAAAGAAACCTGAGCTCGCTGTATACTATATTCCAAGAGAAGACGTTCGTTTTAGATACCAAAAAATATTCTTTACAGCTACCATATGAGGTTCGCGTGGGTTGGCATGGAACCTAGCATAGTAACAAACTAAAAACATAATATCTGGTCTACTAGTTGTTAGATACATGAGTGAACATGTCATCTGACGAAAAAGGGCCATATCAACAGCAGGTTTATCCAACGAAGGAGTCAGTTTAGTTTTGAATGCCATTGGAACATTCACCTTTGAGTCTCCATGCATTCCAAACTTAGCAAGTAGGGTCTTCGTGTAAGCCTCCTGATTGATGAAAATTCCTTCCAGTCCTTGTCTTATGTCTAATCCAAGAAACATGTTAGTTGGACCCATTGAGATTATCTCAAACTTAGTTTCCATCAGCTTTCGGAACTCAGTTATTAGGTTGGGATTACTGGATTCGAAGATGATGTCATCAACATAAATTTGTACGATCATCAAGTAGTCACCCTCTTTCTTGTGAAAGAAGGTTGGGTCAACTGAACCTTGCTAGAATTTGGACATTGTAAGAAAACGAGTTAGTGTTTCATACCAGACCCTTGGAGGTTGTTTTAGACCGTAAACCTCTTTGTTAAGAATGTAGTAGTGGTTGGGATATTTTTCGTTTACAAATCTAGGTGGTTGCTCCACATAGATAGTCTCTTCCAGTTCACCATTTATGAATTCACACTTTACATCCATTTGCAAAAACTTCAAAATTTTAGTGAGCTACATATGCTAAGAAGATGCGAACAGATCCAACCTAGCAACGGGTGAGAAAGTTTCTTCGTAGTCAATGCCTTCTTCCTGCTAGTAATCTTTGACCACAAGCCTCACTTTGTTTATGATGACATTTCCTTCTTTGACCATTTTATTCTGAAACACCCACTTTAAACCAACAACCGATGCATCTGGGGGAGTTGGAATCAGTCTCTAGACATTGTTTCGTTTAAACTCATTGAGTTCATCTTTCATCGCTTGCACCCAGTCGGAATAATCGAGAGCAGTGTTGATGGTTTTGGGTTCAATCTTGGATACGAACAAATTAAACATGCAAAATTCAACTTTAGAGAATAATGTAGTTTGCTTCACTTTCAGTTGAGAATGAGTAAGGACGCCTGCATAGGATTCACCAATAACTTGAACTTTTGGGTGATCTCTTGTCAATTTGGTAATTGGAGGATAATTTGGATCTAAGGATGGATTTAGCTCAGGGTTTACTTCCTCAAATTTAGATGAAACTGATTGAGTGTCCGAATCATCATTCGCTTCTTTATTCTCCCCCTCGAATGATGCCAACTTGTTGATCTCAGGAATTGAATCATTCCCTGCGAACGGAGTTCGTGGGTCATAGTTGGTTGGGAAAAATCACCATCAGAAGGAGGCTTAGTAGAAAAAGGTAATGTGAAACCCTCCCCGTACAAAAAAACATTTGTGGTTAGAGGTGTAGTATCCTCCCCTGGAATTGTGTGTTAGACCTAGAATTCTCCTCCTTGAAATTAGAGCACGTGTCTTAAGTTTCTTTCGCAATGGACGGCTGTTTAGGCATATCTTTCACATTATCATTGATAATTTTCTTGACTTCATCGACTTTATTATTCGCTGCTTTAGCTTCAGATGTGATAGCTTTTTCAGGTTCATCAAAGTGGTAACACGAACTCTTCATAAAGGTCGGACACATGAGTTACAATTGGACAAGGTTTAGGAAAGACTTTCTTGATCTGAATTTTGTTTAGCTGAATTCGCGTCAGATAGATGTCATCAAACGTGATATAGTAGGTCTCTTCTATCTTATTGGAGGGTTTCTTGAGAACCCTATATACCTTGGATGTTAGTGAGTATCCCAAGAATATGCCTTCATCAGGTTTCACATCGACCTTGTTCCGTTGTTCTTTGGAAATGAAGATAAAATACATGGAGCCAAAAACGTGGAAAAATGTAACGTTAAGGTTGCGATTATTTATGATTTCATAAGGAGTTATTGAGAATCGCTTGTTTAGGATAGACCAATTTTGGGAAAAACAAGCAGAAGCTATCGCATCAGCCCAGAAGTAGAGAGCTAGACATGCGAACGTTAGCATGGTTTGTGCAGCTTCACATAAGGAACACTTTCATCTTTCAACTACATCATTCTGTTGTGGAGTGTAAGGAGCAGAAACGTTGTGCGTGACTCCCTTTTCAGCAAGAAATTCTTCAAACGCTTGGTTTTTGAATTCTAGACCATAGTCACTGCAAACGTTGTGAACCAGCTTTCGCAGTTGAAGTTCGATTTGCTTAAAGAAGTCCTTTAGCTTTGGCGTTGCTTTAGATTTCTGCTTAAGAAAGAACACCCAAGTGAAACGTGAAAAATCATCTTCAATTACTAGAATGTACTTACTACCACCAAGGCTTTCAATAGCAGAAGGTCTGCAAAGGTCGATGTGTAGAAGTTCCAAAGGTTCAATGACTTTCGTGATCACAATAGTAGGGTGACTTATTGTACTTTGCTTTCCCATCTCGCAAGCTGCTCACAAATGATCATTGTCAAATTTCAGTAAAGGAAGTCTTCGCACATGATCACCAAGAACAAGCTTATTGATATCTTTGAAATTTAAGTGGGAAAGATGCGTGTGCCATAACCAGCTTTCGTCCGAGTGAGATTTTGTAAGCATGAAAGTGGTAGGCTTCCCCCGTATCGGGTTTAGATTTAGTGGATACATTTCACCCTTTCGTTGTGATTTTAGAAGAATGGTCTTGGATTTCTTATCGACGATTTCTGATCCCTCATCATCAAATGATACCCTCAATCCAGTTCCTACCACCAACTGCGAGACGCTGATTAGGTTGTGTTGCAAGCCTTCAACATAAGCCACTTTCCAAATAGAGAATTCCCCATTTGTTATCATTCCATAGCATTTTATTTTGCCAAATGAATTATTCCCGTATTTTATGCTTCTGCCATCCTTGAGAGCCTTAAACTCTCGCAGTTCCTCCTTTCTTCCCGTCATATGACGTGAACAACCACTGTCGATGTACCATTTAGTGTCAAACTGTTCATCACGAATAACCTGCAAAATTTAAGAAGATTTAGGAACCCAAAGTTTCTTAGGTCCTTGTGAGCCTTTCATAGAATAGGGAAAAGTAATATCAAGATTAACCAAATATGCTCGTTTTATAAGAGTGGTTTCATCTTTTCGTTTGATGGTGAAAACTTTGATTTTGTTAAGTTTTGAGTTAGGTTCTCTAGAATTAGAAGATTTATTCTTATTGTCTGCTTGATTCTTGATGGAATCCTTTTTAACTTCCTTAGGATTAACATTTGGTTTATTGGTTGGATTTTTCAGCTCTGAGGAAAGCTTTCCCTTGCCTTTGTCGTTTTGAGACGTAAACTTTGTGGGTTGAGAGTGATTAGGATTTCGTCTCTCCTTTTGTTGCTATGTGAAGAAGGGTTTTG